TTTCGTACGCGACGTCGTTAATTTGCGCGCGGGGCGTCGGCGTTAATTAATACGGACGCGGGTTCCGCGACGCCGCTCGCGCCATCATAGAAACATTATAAAATCGCCCACGGATCGCCAATTCCACGCGGAATTGTCTTCAGCCTCTCCCCCCGTCCAAAGAAAGAAAATGAACGATGATTAATGTTATAAAGTAACCGCGACGTCATCTGCACAGGGTGCCTAACGCGCAGCGTCCCCATATCTCGTGTGCATGTAGATTAGATCAAACTGAACAAAAAAGTTCTATACCATTTTGCAAAACACCACGTGAGTTTCTGAGTTATTAATTAGGGGAGATGGGTGGATAATCCCGCGCGCGCGATAACGCATCAATGTCCTTTAATTAAATTTGCAAAACGGTAGAGAATCTTTTTGTTCAGTTTGATCTAATAAAAAGTCTGTTTTACACAGTTATAAAATAAATACAGAGTAAAGGAATAAATACGAGGTGGTCTCTGAGGAAGGTACGCCAGATAAACACCTTGGCACGTGTTGACGATAGTGCCGTTATCATTACGTTGTCGTTGCGTACACGTGGTGGGGTAAAACACCTGATTATTGACATTCCCTTAGTCATTGACGCTCCAGAGAAAAACCTGTTTTTTCTTGCGATAAGAATTACAGTTAAACTTCTTGCCTGCACTCCACGGCTCTATAAGAGAATATAAGCTGTGAGTCACTGTCACTAGTCGCAAGGAAACCCAGTATTTTTTCTAGAGTGCCAATGACTAAGAAGAACCAATAATTTTGGGCATTTTACCTTACAAAAGCTTCGCGACTACAACGCAATGATAACGGCATTGTCGTTTGAAGTGACAGGGACGAGGCTTACCGACTTCTCCAATTCGCGATTTTCGCAATATTCCGTCATTATCACTTCGCGATCGAGTCTGTCGGAGGCGCCAGACGCGAGAGCAGTTGGGAGACTCTTCGAGAGAAAGAGAGAGAAAGGTGCAGGACGGTGTTTCACAAAACCGTGATGTTGAGACGAGGTTCTCGACGCGATACTTGCGGTTAAGCGGAGCCTCGCGATCGCGGCGCAATGAGAAAAGTGGCACCGCGTTCCGCGGTAATAAACTGTGTAACTGGCGTTACACGGCGCGTAATACGCGCGTAAAGCGCCCGCGTGTGCAATAACGCGAGAGTAACGAGAGAAAGATAGAAATGTGCGCAAAGAGCGAACTCGTTCTCTCTCTACTCTCCTTTCTTCTCGCTCTCGGAGTCTCGCCTCCTCGAAATCGACTCGTCGTTTCTCGTAACGTGCGAATCTTTCACGAACGCGACGCGAGTCAGATCGAGCGAAATGTTACAGTAGACGTCAGCCTAGGATTCCATTATTGCCGTTATTTTCCCTTTTCGGGCCGAGACCGGCGCGATTCTCGCAGGAACACGGGCGAAATCGCGAGGCGCGCAAGAGCGGAGGCGGGAAGCGAGATTGGGTGTGGAGGAAGGCGCCAGCGGTTCTTGGTACAGCCGGATCGTGTTCCTGGTGCGGCAATACCGGTATCCCTTCATTCCTGAGTAATCGCCGGGCCCAAGGCACACACTATCTACCACATTCGCCATTTTCTAAATGCGTCGGCTTAATGTAGACGCGTTACGAGAGGGCCAGCCGCGTTCACCCGACTTTCCCGTCTGGCCGATTCCGAAAGAAGTCGAAGAAGAAGATGAGGAAAAGGAGGGAAAAGGAAAAAAAGGAGGAAGCTTAGAGTTTCGCGAACGTTCAGATTTCCCTGACGTCTGCCCGGACGCGTAATTATTATGCGTTCACGAGAGAACAGATAGACCGGGGAAAATCGATATCGATTACCGATCATGTCGACTTTCATGCTCCACATACTCGACAGACGCGCGATCGCTCCTTCCTACCTCGTTCTGTCTCGTCTAGTCTGGTCTAATCTCGTGTTTGAAAGACATCCTTTCCGCATCGACTTGTCTCGCTCTCCCGCAGCGCTTCAAGTTGTCAGTCAAAGAGATGGAGAGAAGAGGAGAAAGAGGGAGAGAGAGAGAGAGAGAGAGAGAGAGAAAGCAGAGCGTGACACGTCGCCACTTTGTTCAGTAAATTCATCGCGTTAACGAATTAGCTCGAAGCGACAGGCACGGGATTCCAGAAATTCAGAGGCCGAAGTTCCGTGCAGCGCGATGAGGCAGGATCGGCCGTTCCCGGAATACGATCTCGTAACGAGGCATCAAGCCTAATAATACGCGCAGCTTCGGCGCGCTCCGGCGAAAGTAAAGCGCTCGAAATTAATGAATTAATTGCGCGCGACCGCGTTTCGCGGATCGTGGCTCTGCTTCTCGTCCGTTCCTGCGGCGGAGACCACCACGTCTCATCTGCAAGTTCCACGTCGCGATCGGTCAACCATTACCGGTCACGTCTCGCAAATCAGTCACTGGAAAGTGTCCGACTGAGTGAATGAAGAAATGAATGAATCGAACTGCCACGTAATTTCGTGGGAGGGTCACCCACCTGGCAATGTGCCGGATATTATGACAGTTACGCGCACTGATGCGAGAAAGAGAGAGAGAGAGAGAGAGAGAGAGAGAGGAGGGAGGAAGAAGGAGAGTGATGTCGGGTCCGAGTGTGCGCGTCTCAAACGGCGGAACTTAATCACCGTCGAGGGATCTAAGAGCGCTGACTACGTTTTAATTACTCGTCGCTTCGAACAGAATGCAGAATGACATCAAGATGACCGACCGGACTGGAAGAACGCGGCGCGTACGCGGTGCATTGACCGAGCGCGCTCACCGCTTTTCCAACTTGCTCTTAATCGTAATCCGATGCAAATAGGAACACGAGATGAGACCGCAAGTGGCGACAGAGGTAACGGCGCCAACGATCGCCCGCCGATCGTTCGATTTCTCGTGAGTTCTACGCGACGAAATCGCGGTGATCTGTCTCTTTTATACTTGATTCGGCACGTTGAATACTGCTGACGCGATCACCGGTGATCAGCACTCTCTCATTAAGTTATGTAGTAAAGTGTGATCGCGTCTAAAACATTGACGGTGCCGATTCAGTCAATGAAACGAAGTAAGATATCTGTTGCATTACGGTTAGTTTAATGCGATTATTAGTTAAGTTTCTTGCACAATGCAAGAAAATCGCTACAGCAATCAGGATCAATAGCAGTCATTACTTGAGAACCGTGCGTCACCTAAAATACTCAGATTTTAATCTAGAGTCAGATGTGTATTTCAGTCCAATTACAAACTCTGCAATTACAAATATCACGTCACGTACACTAAGATGCAATCAAGTCTTAGCATTTACTAAACCAAAATTCGCCAGTCCTAATCATTCGCGATTGAAATGCGAGATATTCGGATTTGAATACAGAGTTAGATGAAAAGTTTTTCATTAGACGGACATAAATGTCACGTATAAATTCACATCTGAATGTCTCGCATAGAACAAGTTTCAAGCAACAACTATTAATACAAGCCTTAGAGTGTATCAAGACTATTAATACTCTCCTTGGTTGCATACGAGTCGCGATCAAAGACATCGGCCTTACGTTACCATCGCGCTAGGAATTGCGTTCAATCCTCGGCTACCGAGCCGCGCGATATATCGCGAATATTCGTGTGATCCATGGATCCTCCTCGCCGGGCGCGTTGGAGCGTCGGCGTCTCGGGAGTGCATCGCGGCGGCGCCGGGAAGCATCGGGGAACTCGAGAACGAAATCGGCGGGCGAGATCGCGTGAAATTACAAGGGGGGGCTAGATATATCCGCGGCGGAAGTGTACATCGGCGAAGTATGCAACCGGCCGCGTACAATTACCTCGTTTTCTACACGCCGCGCGCGAGAAGAGAAGCGTTTTCTAAAGGAGATTGACGGTAGCACGAACGGAGCGCGGCAGCTAATACGCGCGGGCGCGCGCGATGCCACGAGGTGCACATCCAAATGCACGTGTAAATATGTATACACGCGCACGTGTATACACGTGTGTACGTAGCAAAAGCCATGGCCGGGTATTAAGTAGCGGTATTTACGGGGGCACAATTATCCCCGTTTTCATGCCGATGATCTCTCGAGACGTGGTGCGCGGCTTCGGGCTTTGACTACGTGGGAACTCGTCTCGTCTCGTCTCGTCTCGTCTCATCTCGCAGCGAAGCGGAGTCGAGCGCGACGCGGAAAGAGGTCCTCTCTCGCGCGTTTCACGACGAGCTCGCGTTTTCCGCCATTGCCACCTCGCGCTTCGCCGTTATCCGCACAGCGCGAGGTGTGCAATTATCATGCCTCGCGCTGGTAGAGTGGTCTCTCAAGCTTGTACACGCGGGTACAACACACACGACGACTGGGTCCTACTCGTCGTCTCTACTCCTGGTGACTGGTGTGTGTGTGTGTGTATGTATGTGTGTGTGGGAGGTAACGAAAAGTTCGTGGAATTTGGAGCGAAAGGAGCGGCGATCTCGCGAACGAAGGAGACGGCAGCGGCGGGTCGGAGCGCAGTCGCACGAAGTCGAATTTAGACCTTTCCATCGGCTTAATCGCTCCAAGGTCGCCGCGGATGGACACGCGATCGCGCTAGGCGAAATTTTCAGGTAGAGCGACGACTCTCGTGCCGGCCAACATTAAGATTATGCTCGCGCTCATCCCTGGCGACCCAGAAAGAATCAAGGGTAAGAGAGCAAAAGACGCCAATCCGCCGCGGCTGTCTCGTCCTGGAGCGCCCGGATTCTTCCGCAAATATCGTGAGAACGATACAACGCCCCCCCCCCCCCCCC